AAGTACAGAAATTAGAATATCACTGTTTCATATACGTAATTTTGGACATGTTCAAACGAACATGAAATATGTATATGCACAACACTACTTAATTTCCGAAATCTAATACATCCCAAGACGATATACATGTACTCTATCATTCTTGAGATAAGAAGACACATTTGTGTTTTATCTTGAAAATGACCAAGTCATTTTGTTAAAGATACATTTATTTGCCGTGATAAGTATTCATACACACGATACGCAGTGATATTAAGGCACTTTGCCGAGAAAAATACGTTAAAAAGCATATTCTTTTTAATCAATTTTAAATTAAGATTGCCAAAAAAATCTTCAAAGCAGCGGTAATAGTGTGAATCATTAAAATCTAAATTCAATTTTTCAGTGTTTATTTATATCGAAAGTGAAAGTAGTCACGTGACCCGAGCAGCTACTGAAGTTCGTTCATTTCATTTTCAACTCAGAAGTCCAGCGTGTTGCTGGAATCTTTCAACAAAAGTTAAAGTATGAATGAATTCGTCTGAATGTATATTTTCTTAAAATTGCTATCCAAAGATGACACTATACTGACAAAAGGTACAAACTGATGTGAATCTGATAGAAATAGTGACGTTTTTACGAATTATTCCGTGGACACCTATTATTTGTATTGAAATCAAGATGTATCAGTGTTTGGATAGCAATATTCTGTTAAAAGAGACATTTCTTATTTGAAATTGGTTAAAATCAAGTAAATCTGTCTTCAGGAACACACTGGACTTTTTAATATTCTTAATCGAGTTTTATTTTGTATCGTTTCAGGTCCATTATCAAACGCTTTGAAGACGTTGTTTGAGAACACTTTGAACATATGCGGACAAATCCAATTTTCCGGAGACCAGAGAAGTGTAAATGCCGCGAAAACTTGAATCGATGGACTGTTTTGCGCCTTTATTGCAATGTGTTATTTGTATTTATTTATATCGTTTATATATTTTTTTTATTTATTTAATTAATGTATGCAACTTTTGCTACTGCCAGAATTAAAAAAAAAAAAAAATTTTACTGATCAGATTTTTTTTTCATTCAAGTCCAAGTACGCTTTTAGGGGTGCAATCTTTCAATGTTTTGTGAAATTTACTAGATCATGTTTTATAAAAGGCATCCAGTTGATCAATTTGAGAATAAAAATGCAGATGTACAAAATGTGTTGACCATCATTCTTCATCACCTACTTTCAAACTTTCCTACATGTGGCCCTTGCTACCTTCTGCCCCACCTTGTAGAGTTGAATATCATTTCCATCGATTCATTTTGAAGAGGACACCTTGAAATTTTCCACCAGCATATTTTGTTTGAATTTCAGTGTTTAAAATTGTATCGATCTACTTAATACCAGAAACATATGTATATTTGGCTTAGTTTTCCATCATTTGTTGAGAAACACCTTCTTTATTCCAGTCATACCTTCATATTTTCCTGAACATCAAGTTTACCAGCATCACCAGCATAAAGGTAATATACGTTCTGCATATTTCAAATGTAAAAAAATTTTCAGCAAACAATCCACTATTAAGTAAGTGTGGAATACTTCATAAAAAGTCCAGGACTTTAAACAGGGGAAATGTTGGTTGGAAAAAAAGGGGGAGTGTGTGTTCCAGAATCCTAGAATCCAAACATGATTTATGATTTTTTGGAAACATTTGTTGAGAAGTCTGCTGATCCAGCAAAACTCAAATCATGAATTCACTTCTTGGTTACAAAAAAAGAAAACCACTTCACACTTTATAGAAAAATCTTTGAGGTACACAATTGTTTGATTCCTATTCAAAATACAACATTAGGAAGCTACAATCAAATTGATGTTTGGAGACTAAAAGATTTATCTGCATTAGACTGCAATGGTTTAAAATTCCTATTAGGGCTGTTCCAGAAAATACTATGTCCCCACCAGGAACAGCACGTTTTTAAACCACACCACCCACAGAAATAATAATAGATTAGAACAACACTTCCTTTGCATTTTGGTTTTTCAAATACAACCATCCACATAATATAAAAAAAAATTGCCTTCCCTGGGGGTGACATAGTATTTTCTGGAACAGCCCTTAATGAAACATTGGTAAAAGAATGAAAATATTATCTTGTCACAATTTTTTTTTTATTTGAAGTCCGTCCAAAATAGGATACAATAGACACATACCTCCTTGCATTCTGCCAAGTGTGCAGTGTACAAGCTTTAGCTATTTTTTTTGTTGAGACAATATGTGATTTTTCTCTATTTATCAACTACACACTTCTAACAACCCATGCAATCAAATCAGTTAGTAGGTATTACAGGGTTGTTTCAGTGGCAAGCATTCCACACCTCCTTATTTTATACCAAAACAATATCAACAAAAAATAAATAGTGGTTACACTGAAACATATATACAAGAGGAATGCAGATCCAACCCTCAAATGTCGCAATGAACTTCTAAAAGCTTCCTGCTCATAAAAAGATGGTGCTGTACATTTTCATCTTGTTTTGCAATTTGTATTTTGTATATAAAGGAGTTGAAGGTTTGGGGTGGGTTGGTTCGCCTTCAAGCTAGTTTAACCCCACCACATTCTGTGTGTGACTGTCCCAAGTCAGGAGCCTGTAATTCAGTGGTTGTCTTTTGTTGCTGTATATCATATTTGTTTTTCATTCATTATTTGTCATTTCGGGGCCTTTTATAGCAGACTATGCAGTATGGGTTTCACTAATTTTTGAAGGCCATACAGTGACCTATAGTTGCTAATTTCTGTGTCATTTAGTCTCTTATGGAGAGTTGTTTCATTAGCATTTATACCATATCCAATTTTTATAAAGGCCTTACAACCTTTTTTTTATAACTTCAGACTGCAATTTAAGGACCTTTAATCACTTAGGTCTCAAATTTTCTAAAGAAAACAAACAAACACTGTTTTTCTCCATCATTTGCTTACAGATATTATAGCAATTGTGAAAAATTTGAACCTTCGATATACAATTTCTTATTAATATTTTTATATCATATTTTCACTGAAATTGTATTAATACCAAATTCATTTTATATTTCACTGAAATTGTAATATCAAATTTATTTCATATTTCGCTGAAATTGTATTATCAAATTTATAACACAAAGCTATAAAGCAATATACATGTACATCAAATGCAAACTTCGGATGAATTTAAACAATTCAGTTGTAGTGTTAGTTCTTGGTCCTTTTGTTATTTTTCTCTGTGGGCTGCAACACATAAATTGATCAACCAAGTACGTTCTGGTTTTGAGAAAGTCTGAAATAAGAAATACAAAATAATTGCAGAATTGAGTGTAGAACATAATCCTTGAAGCAACACACAAAATATAAAGTATAGCAGTCTAAACATAAAACTTTATAAACTGCAGCTGTGCTATTTGTGCAATCAAATTGCATTGATCTTATACTTATTTGTGATTAAGTCGCTGACCGTACAGATATAGTGGACAAAAGTGAGTTCCCATTAAAAAAAAAGTCCTATCATTTCACCTAAAATCAATATTTAAATAAATGAAGAATGTGTCCCCATGGACACAGATGATGCCCCCGCTTGCATACAACATTATAAAGGGACATAACTCAAAAACAATAAAAGTGACGCTACCCAAATTTGTACTTGATCTGAGTTTTGTGGTAATAATTATTGTGTATAGGTTTCATAATGTTTGGTTGATACAAGCTCAAGTTAAAGAATGGAAACTAAAAATTTTGCAATTTTTCTATTTATAAAGGAGCATAACTCTAGAACGGTTAAAGTGACGCCAATAAAATTCAAACTTGATCTGTGTTTTGTGGTAATAAGCATTGTGTATAAGTTTCATAGCATTTGGCTGAGGCAACTTACGTTAGAGAACGGAAACTAAAAAGTTTGCATTTTTTTCCATATATAAAGAGGCATAACTCGAGAATGGTTAAAGTGACCCCAACAAAATTCAAACCTGATCTTTATTTTGTGGTAATAAGCATTGTGTATAAGTTTCATAACATTTGGTTGAGGCAAACTTAAGTTAGAGAACGGAAACTAAACATTTTGCAATTTTTCGATTTATAAAGGGGCATAACTCGATAATGCTTAAAGTGACCCCACCAAAATTCAAACTTGATCTTAATTTTGTGGTAATAAGCATTGTGTATAAGTTTCATAACATTTGTTTGAGGCAAACTTAAGTTATAGAACGGAAACTAAAAATTTTGCAATTTTTCGATTTATAAAGGGGCATAACTTTAGAACGGTTTAAGTGATGTCACTAAAATTTAAACTTGATCTGTGTTTTGTGGTAATAAGCATTGGGTATAAGTTTCATAGCATTTGGTTGAGGAAAACTCAAGTTAGAGAACGGAAACCAATTTTGGGACGTACGGACAGACGGGCGAGGGTATAACTTAATGCCCCCTCCGCTACATCGGGGCATGAAAAATAATAACAAGTAACTTATGAGCGATTTCTATAAAATAAGTACCACAAGATGTAGAAATGACTGACGTTTTATTTTTTCTTCGGCCAGGAGTTTAATGTGGGTCATTCTCTTTTTCACCATTCTAATTTCATGAATATGGTAAGGTTGCATAGCAAACCTTTCCTAAAATATTTTCCTTTGTGGTCAACTTGTTAGAAATTAAAATGATGAACTTGTCCAAAATAATAAGAATCATTATTGAAGTTATTCTTTGTATTTGGGTTTAAATCTAACAAGGTTATTGACAATAGTATATCATAACTTTATTTGACAGACATATACAAAAGAACTGTTCCTCCCAAAAATGTCCCAGTTGTAATGTGTAAACACTATTGTAGCAGCAATATTTGACCTTAAATGTTTTCTTTTTTAAATAGTCATCTACTCTTTATAACAAATAATCCCAATGACATCACTTACTGTTTTCCAGTAGTATAGATTATGAGAATGAATGCAGAAGCTCATTTGACTTCTTGTGTGTTGATTTATCAAGTTCCCCTAGTAATTTCAGTCTTGGTCATCAGGCTTGTAGATGAATTTGTCTAGCGGATTCGATCTCCTTTCAAATCTGTTTTCTATTTTATATGAAAGAATTAAAGATCAGTGTAAACAACTTTATCTTACTTCCTATACATTTCTAGGAATATGATTGGTTAAAAGCAACCACGTGGAGACCGTTTATATTCCATATTAGGTTATTAGGCTGGCTTATTTCAATACACGGTTAGTAGTGATGTTATGTCCCTTTTAAAAACAACACGGTGTTGATTTATCATTGCGAACATAATACTCAGTGTCAGATTTTTCACATTTATGTAATAGAAACATTGTAATAATTTCTTAATTAACAGTATTCATACTGTATAGGAAAATATGCTCTCAAAATAAATTTTGCCTTAATACAATGTATGAATATTGTTTGTATCATGTAATTTAACTTTTTCCCGGAAACATAAAAGTTTTTCTTAATTTCTGGAAAAAAAGGCTGCTGGATATCCTGTAACTGTTTGAATTTTTTTATAATACTAGTCATGACCGGGTCTTTTATAGTTTAATATACAGTATGGCTTTGGCTCATTGTTGAGGACTGTCATATCTGTACGGTACAGTGACCATAGTTGCTTTTTTCTACTTGATTTGGTCTCTATTGAATAGTTGTTTCATTGGCAATCATACCACAGCTTATTTATTTATTTAAAACCATAAAATAAAATTAAAAAATACAGGCTGGTAATTTGATTTTTCTTCATAAGAGTGTTGTTTTTTTTTTCTAGTGCCAATCCCAAGTCACAAATGTAATCACTAAATTAAAAAAATGAGAGGCTGAAAATACTAAAAGGAAATTCACACTTACTAGTAGACAACAATCTGACAACCAAAGGAAAAAAAGACAACATAAAAAACTTAAGACTGAGAAACACGAACCGCACCAAAAATCAGGGATGATGTCATGAAAAATATATATATAACAAATAAAATTATCCATAGCATCAAGTTTAATAGAAGCATTTGGCTCACAGTTAATTGCTGAAACAATGATTTAAACAAATCACACAGTATAGCAAGCTTATATGAATTAAAAAAGTATACAAAATTTCAGTAAGTGATTTATATGTAGTTCATGAGGAAAATCTGACTGAACAGTGTATATAGGTTTGGCAGACATACATGACATTTCTAGGCCTTTCATAGCCCATCCACATTACAGTATGGGTTTTTTTCTCATTGTTGAAGGGAGTACGGTTGCAAATAATTGCTTACTCCTATTCAATTGAAATTCAGTGTATAGTTGTCTCATTGGAAATCATACCTCATCTCCTTATTTTTATATTTAACAGTTTACCCCCTCATCCTTTGGGACAGGACTATAATCTTTTCATGGATATTGATTACTTTTTTGTGTTGTTGGGTTACTAGTTAATTTACACAAATAAATAGTCTTTTCCCAGTTTGGTTTCAGACTTCACATTTAGTAATATGTGTATACCCCAAAAATATTTAAATACAATATAAATTAAATTATTTTAGGATGAATTCCTGTAACTTTGCAAAAGTGATCATCAGCAGATCCACCAAAGATATTGCGACAATAAACTGGTGGAATACCCTAAAAGATAAAGAAAATGAGGAGAGACTGACAAGTGTTATCAACATGAAAGATAGATTCTACAATTATTCAATTTTTATGGAAAAGTATCCCAAAATGTCTTTGAATTTCGATCAATTTAGAAGCAAAACCACAAAACTACAATCATATCTCTCAGACAAGAAATACTGGAAAAATCTTAACAAATCTGGACAGCAGCATTCTTTCTTTAGCCGTTTTTCACTTAAGAATTGGCATTCACTTAGCTCCAATGAAAGGCTTCAACACCAGCTAGTTGACTGTAGACCTTGTTCCACTGTTCACTTTTCAAGTCTTCATAAATCCATGGCACCTTATTTTGAAAATGCACACCAGCTTTACGAACAAGGGACAGAAAACATTTTGAAGATAACATCACCAAACAGCAATACCACCACCAAGGGAATGAAAGTAATAAAATCTATCGTCAACATCATCCAACCCATAGTAGAGCAACGTTTAGATTTAAAATTTCCAAGACCCATTTCAGATTCCATCATGCTTTCCCCACCAGTAACACCAAAGGAATTGCAATCCACAAAAATTAAAGTTATGCAAGAAAGCAGAAAAAAAATCAATGAATCTTTCACCGACGGAGGTAATGACGTTTACAATTTTCTTTCTTCATCAATTTCCTTCCGTGAGCATGACAGGATTCGCCTCGGCATTTTTTTTTTTGAAACCAAAGACCATGCCCAACAGAGAGTAAATAAGAGCCTAGAGAAAGAGGAAACTGGTAAGAGGAAACACAGAAACAACCATGGACAATTTGATTCTTACAGATTTGACAAAACAGAATTTTTGACAGAGATTAAAACCAAAAAAGAAGGGGACACTATCAACTGGACAGCTCTGGCGCGTAAATATCACATCACCTACAACGGCAAATTTCCTGCAAACGGGGGGCAAATTCTACAGGAATATGCAAGAAGCAATGGAATTAACACATCGCATTCAAATCTAAAGTGTATAATAACCATAGGGCATATTTTAGAAGGGTAAGGAGGGCAAACAAAGTGGTAACAGTCAACAGAACAAAATTTTCCCTCCCAACTCCAAGGCAGTCATCCCACTTAAAGAAAGACATAAAGGAAAAGTTAACTTCCGGAGACTTATATTTAGGAGAAGAAATAGTACCAAAGGACATCATTTCAACGACAATAACAGACGGAAAATTGCAGCAGAAAACAACAGTAATACATGGTAGAAAATTCCCCCTCATTAGACTTAGAAGAACAGCTTTGCAGGAACAGGTAAGCAGTGGGGTATTAAGGTATTTTAGTGACCAGGAATATGACAGCTTAACCATGGAACAACTTACATCTCGTTATATCAGGATCGGACAGAAACCACCAACAGGAACTCTTTCAGATAAAATAGAACATCTCAAAAGCACTGAAAGAACAAGTAAAATGAAACTTTGGCACGACCACAGCAGCATCCTAAACCATTCCTATAGATATAAGAAGATGTGGTATGAGTGCCAATGAGACAACTCTCCATCCAAGTCAAAATTTATAAAAGTAAACCATTATAGGTCACAGTACGGTCTTCAACACGGAGCCTTGGCTCACACCGAACAGTAAGCTATAAAGGGCCCCAAAAAATTACTAGTGTAAAACCATTCAAACGGGAAAACCAACGGTATAATCTATATAAAAAACGAGAAACGAGAAACACTTATGAACCACATCAACAAACGACAACAACTGAACATCAGATTCCTGACTTAGGACAGGTCCAAACAAATGCAGCGGGTTTAAACGTTTTAATGGTACCAAACCTTCACCCTTTTTCTGAAACAATAGTGTAACATAACAGCATAGAAAGACACACTATAAAATATCAACTGAAATAGCTTAACTCAATCAAAGGACATATTAACACCATTGAACATACACTGAACAAATAAATTTGACCTATGACACAATGTAAATACAAAATAAATTAACTAAGGGAAGAATAATAAAAGTAACATGTTATATCGGTAAGAAATGTTATGTATGTTTCACTATCTCATGGCTATATGATCCTGCCAACTATTTTACTGGTATAGAGTACAAAGAGAAGTATCCAGACCGTAAGCCAATTAACGTTCAAGGTATTGTTGAAAAGCTCAAGTTATATATTTTCGGCCAATCAGGTAGCAGCGACTTAGAACAATCAAGTTACACTGCAGTTAGAAATGAAGACCTGCAAATCTTATCTGAACCTATAACAGCGGACAATGGTAAAATAAATATTTTTGGTGTAATGCGCGTATTCAGCGGTGACGGTCCTCCAAGACAATTTGAAATCGGACAGCAGAGAGGTGAAAATTATCCCTGTGCATGTGGGGTTTCATGCTAATGATCACGGTAATTTTGTTCTCTGTTATGGCATTGAACCCCTTACACTAGATGAACGAGTCGGTATAATAAAATCCACAAGATGTTTCGACGAGCAGAAAAAGGGAAATTTAAATCCATTCCAAAATTTAAAGAAAGACGACCTTATAGAAGAATTAGAAATAGAGATGTCGATATTCACAACATGTTACGTCCCGAACTACAAGAAAATCTATCCATCCTACTTCATGGAATTTGCAGATCACCAGCTCTTATGACAACAACCCCTACTCTTTCAACCCATCATCTTAACTTGGACAACTATGAAATATTTGGCATAGAACCATTACATGATCTTTTCAACTTTATACAGAACATTATAAATGAATTACCCTCCCATATTAGCGACAAAAAACTTCAAAAAGAATTAGAGGAATTTTCGAAACTCACTATTGGAGATAAAAATCAAATAAAGGGATCAGATGCGCGTCTGTACTGATCTGTACTTAGTCAAATTATCCCATTTTCTAGCTTCATCACAACTAACTGATCAAAATGTAAGACAGATGATTGACTCACTTCTTGAAATTACCCACATTTCATACTCTAAATACAACACAAGATCTCCAAAACAGATACTAAGACTATACAATCAATGCTTTCTTCTTGCGGTAAATTGCAGAAATGATGTTGGAGTCCCATCCAAAATATCATCTCGGAAATATTTTGGTAGTCATTTCCACAGCGTATCCATTCATCTTGCTGAAGTTCAAAGAATATTTACCCTAAGGTCCCTCGTAACAGAACAAGAAGAAAGATGTTTTGGAGATCTCCAAAGAATTTCAGAAAACACCAGTAATCGTCAACCGAAAACAGTATGTGACAACGCAGTTCTAAGATTTACTTGTCAACAATCGAGCAAACAAGATAGCCTGTACATTCAGGAATCGATTATTCATAAGCTAGCGAATCAAATACAGGCCAAACCAAGAACTTTAATTCCATCAACTATTCTTAATAAAAGACCAATGTTAGTACAAAGCCATCTGGAGAGGATAAGCGATTTTATTTTACCTGGCGAAGGAGTTTGGTGGCACATGGAAGACGGCAACATGATCTTTCATGATGTTCCTGATGATGAACCTTGTCACAATGAAGGTCCAGAAATGCATCACTTCAGGTCATCATCCTACAAAGAAGAACATCAATTACTTAAAGACATCTGGAAAAAGGTTACAGAAAATTTTAAAGACAGAAAGATTTCATTACCACTTCAAAGAATTAAGACGTTTGACACAGATGGCAAAGTCTCGTTTATAACACCAACTGAAACAGGTATGTATAAACAGTTTACACCAATGGCAACTACAAATTAAGAATTTCTATTATCATATTAATTATAACATCTTAAGACTTTTCATGGGAAATGCAATATGACAATTTCCCAATCAACATCGTAAATTCAAACATTTTGTCCATTTCTTATATGCTCTTTCATCGGTTTTTAAATATTCATTATGAAAATCCAGACATTATCTCTTGCATAAATTCTGGTTTATTTGTTATACTTCATCTAAACTGATTAGCTTTTGTTTTTTTGCTGCATCTCTACTAAGCTCTCACAAATAACTTTAGTATTAAGGATTAGAAAATACATGTTTGCTCACGGTTGGAATGATTTGCAGTCCTTGTTTACTAACATGTCTAAAATCCGGCTCAGTATAACAATCTTGTACAAAGCAATGTTCATTACTATATCGCTTTGCATGTTCTACCCTGAATTTGCAAATTGTTTGCTGCTGGAAGTTTAAAGACCTTATACTATATAATCTTCATCATACATATATTTGGAACTCTAGTTATTTTTAGGATAACAATTTTATGAATTTTTGTGAAAATCTAATATTTGTTAGATTTTAATTCTTATTTTATTGACATAATGTCAGTAAACTTATCCAATTAAGTAATACATATTTAGTAAAAAAAATAACTTAAAATTCTTTTTAGATGTAATTTCCTTCTTATAAATTACTGTATAAACTTACCAGAAACTACTGATGTTTTGTAGACTTGGCATCTGAGTCAACAGACAGCTACCAGCACAACATACCTGTACAAGGTAAATGACTATTCTTATGAACATAACAGATTTACATGTTTCTCAGCACTATACTAATCATGCTAATATTTATATTCAATTTCTACTTCATAAGTAACATTTGTTTTTTCGCGATTCATTTTAGTTGGACAATTTTTATGAATCTGAAAAAAAAACGTAGAAATCTACAATTTCTTTGCCTTATGTCATTATAAATACCATCATTTTCTTTATGAAAAAGTTAAAGGAGTAGGGTCGATAAGGCCCTAAAATGGCCCTTTTTCTAGATTAAATTTCAAAATAAGATTTATTGATTATTATTATACTTAATACGTAGTATACAATAACTTGTGTCTTTTGATGAAATTTTTTTTTAGTTGTGTTCAATTTCATGATGTAACAAATAGCACTTATTTTTTCAACAAAAAATCAATGCATATAAAAACAAGTAAATTTTCATTGACATTTTTATCAGGAAACAGAATGCAAATGTTTACAACAAAGATCTTGTGACATAATGTTTGTTATGACCTTTTACATATCTAACTTGAAAATTTAGTTCTTCAAAGCCTGCGCTCTTTGTTTCCTATGACTTTATTTGGTTGAAATCCAGACAATTTTGTTAAATTTCACAGAAACTTCTATTTTTGACCTATTCAAAATGTAAAAATCAACGCTGTAAATGAAACTTTGATAAAAATAGTTCTATTTAAGTTTCTAATGTGTCTTTTTATCTTCTTATTTTGATCCTTTGAGCTACAGAGGATGACCTAATCAAGAATACATATATATAAGTCACAGTGACCAACTTGTGCATCATATTTCATGTAAATTGTATATATGCCTATTTTCAAAAAAATCAATTTTAGACAGAAACACATTGACTGTATGTCTGAAACAGTCATCATGATTATAATTCCTTACCTGCATTTTTTTATTTGAATTTGTTTTTCCCTTAGAATTTCAAGTCAGTAGTGGTACCAGAGAATCTGCCAATGAGGATCAACAAATAAGTTCGCCTGAAAAGAATTTGGAACAAGGTATTCAATTACAAAGGAAAAAATATGTTGATATGATGATTATATTCTTAAGTGGTGTGTGTTAAATTCATTTGTTGTTTTTTTAACATAAAATCAATCATCAATAAAGTTCATTTAGCATATTAAAAACACAGGATTATAAGATTCTTCAGGTACAGGTAAAAATCCAAATCAAATTTTGAACCTTTTTGTTAACCATGTTAACACTTTATTTAAACATTCCTGTTTAGTTATTTGCATAAATTTTATTTCATGTTACCATTTATTATAGATCCATATCAAATTCTAGACATAGAAAATGGACTCGAAAACAGAGAGGAAACAGAGAGGAAACTGCTTGAGAACAACAACATAAAACGTTTGTACATATCACATATTAAAGGTAATAAAATTATTTAAATCAAGTAGAGATTCAAGTTGATGTGACCACTAACTAGCCTAAAACAAAATTGTATTCTACCAGTACCTTAAGAGAACAGTTTTAGACAGACACGCACACCAGGAACATGTCTATCTACTTAGTAATATTGTAGGTGTGGCATAAAAAGACTTCTAAAATTCTTAAACGTTTTGTTTTAATTGATTGATAGATTGCTGTATCATTGACATACATACATGAACCTACATCGCCTTTATTAAATAACAGTATTCTTATGCAAATATAAAAAAATAATCAGCTGTTAATAACATACTTTTTACCATTATGCAAAATTATCTAAAAAATTGTTCTTGATATTTTGAAAGTCCCTTCCTACCCTCCCTCATACATTTTAATGGAATAGCCCTAATAATACCATAATTTTAATAAATAACAAGTTTAAAGGAATATAATTAGTTATAACTAACAGGTTTACAAATATAAATATGGTTTAATTTAAGTTTTAAAGTGGACTATACAGCCTAGCAACATCAGTGTCCATGAAAGTGTTGTCACCCAACAAAAGATATTACCAGGTATATATTCATTTTACATAAACTTCCGACTCTCATTCTTCAATGTCTTAGTATTGCTCATATACACATGATCTATATATGTATTTATATATACAAGTTTAAATTGAAAACTACGTTCAAACCTATGATTGCGTTGGATAAAAACCGCAATTTTTATACGTGTGCATGCAAAACAAATTTCCTTGTAGAGGGGTCTAAATACAACAAAAACAACATTTTCCAAAAGACCAAAAAAGGTAAAAAGTATATATTAACAAAACGCATTTGACTAGCAGGTCGAACAACGGATGTTCTTAAACACTGCTGACTACCATGGAAATTGCCAAATAAACGGATCACAGATGTAAAACAACGAAGCTTAATTATATTAATTTAATACCAAACAGAAAACAATAAACTTGCGGAAAAGATGGTATACCGCAAACATGATGTGCAAAAATGTGTACACCATATCCGAATTTCGACAATTTATGTCTCTTCAGTGATGTTAGGAATCAAAATGGTATATATATACACGGAAATTACAGATGCAAATATTTTCTACTTTGTTTTGTTGGATTGCTGTCTTATCTCCCTTTTCCATATTTGAAACCATTTGTTTTACTTTCAGTAAACCAAAAACCATCAACATGCAAAAGGAAATTGTTCGAATCTGAAATTTCAAACAATGAAATTGGTAAGTAGCTGTTTTGTCGTATAAACTCAAGTACTGATTCAGCTAAAGCAATGAAAATTGGCAATTGTCACAAAATGGTGACGAAATTTTTAAAATGTGAAAAAGTTTATATAAATTATTTTGATTCATGTTCAAAAATACTATGGTTGAATTTCCATTTCCGTTTAGATCAAAAATAAATACATGTATTATAAATCTGCAAATACTGATGATATACATACATTTTTTTTTTATATTTCATCATCTCGTAGAAAGAAGACACCTTTTTACCTGGCTGTTTAGTTACTGGGCCCATCATCAGATGTGGATGACTGCATCAAGTATAAGAAATTGAAGATGAAACACCCCACTCATAAATCCTTCATATCAAATTTTAATCAATCATTCTCCAAGCTACAGAATCAGGTCAGCAAGAAGTACCATTTCCTGTAAGACAAAATACAAAATGATGAGGGAAAGGAGAACCTGGAAAATCTGTTAGCTGACAAACGGATTGCACAAAAGCTGCTTGGCCACTGGGGATTGTACCATTATTAATGTCCATTGCACTAAAATCTTATTTCTGATAAAAGTGAGGAGACTAAAATCCATAATTATTTCAAATGTCACCAAGCTTACCAACAAAATAAATAAGGAGATGTGGTATGATTTTCAATGAAATATCTACATAGCAGAGACTTAACAACTGTCAATAATGAGCAAAACCCATACTGTACAGTACATGCAGTAAGATATAAAAGATACCCTGTATGACAATTTAAACAAGAAAACAGACAGCCTTAAATACGTTTACTTAAATACTTTAGTCTCTAGATATAAATTTTTCTTTTGATAGTTAAGTAACTGACAACACATGAACTATAGCATAATTTTTAGCTACATGTATCATATGACAATGATGGATGTCCAGTGGGAATATTATGTGCATAATATCAAGTACATGTTACTGTGGTATAAGTATGATTGCTGTTTTAAAGTCCAAGATTATTAATATGCTCCTTAAACACAAACATACATATATGAGACAACCAAAGCAGTATTATGTGATAATATGAGCCTAATAACGACAGCTTTGTTCATTGACCCTTTAATACATTCAATATTTAGAGATCTGTCAAATGGTGCATGTGGGCATTTCTAATTTGTATACCACCAGTGGCTTGCAGCACAAGGCTTTTTCAAGAAAAAAATGTGGAAAAGGGGATGGGGAAAGGATTAAAACAAAAGCCATACAGAATTATGGTATGTTTACCAAGGAGACATCTATCTACATGTATCAGAGATGGTGATTTGAAACAACAGTAGATCATTTAACTGCCTTCAACCATGAGCAAAACCAATACTGTATAGTAAGGTATAAAATGCCAAAGCATTACAAATTTTGAAACAGTTTAAATGAGAAAACCAATTCAATGGCTTGATTTATGCTAAAGAAATAAATATATAACAAACAGAAGACATGTAGCAAGTGAGCAACAAATGACAATTACTTTAGAAAAGATGATAAAAAAGACTGAACAAGACTGTTTTAATTGCTGTTCTTCCTCATCATTATAATATCAAAATCACATAGAGGCCTTCAACAGCAGCAACATCATCATTAGTTTTAAGAATCTGCCAGGCAGTCCAATCCTCCATTTTTTTACTAATTTTCTTTTTGAAAAAGCCTTCTATTAAATATGAAGAGATTTATGAAGTGGACATCTTCAATAAACAGACATGACAGCTACTGTATTCACTTCTGACATGGTTAAAACCTGTTGACAACTGACAATTAATAAGCACAATCCTTGTTCAGTTCTATCAGAGTTATCTTTAGTTATGTCAGACTGAAAAAAAACCAATTGATTGATTGATTGATTTGTGGTGTTTTTAAGGCCACTGTTAGCACGCTTGTCTTTATTGTGGCGGCCAAATTTTATTGTTAAAAGAAACTGGAGTGCCAGGAAATGAAAGAACCTACAACTTTTAGAAGGAAAACTGGACATCATAGTTTATTAAGATCATGGTCTAACACACCTGCCATTTACAGGGTAATGAGGCCCTCTAAAATTGATATAAAGTTTTGTTTAAATACAATATTCAAATACATAGTTACATTAGTCCAGATAAACTTTATTCAATGACAGGTAGCTTTATCTTAACTTCATCATTAGATTGAGACAGTGAATACAGCATCAGCTTCATGCACTTATGAGTCAAACCCATGTATACAGCCAGCTTATTTATCCCATATTGTAGACTTAGATATAAAGTTTCGATCATCATGATCAGGATAAGATCAGTATAACATATTTACGTAGGTCAATACTGATCAGTCTCTTTACTGGATATGACACTACTAA